CTTATAGGGTTTATACTGAGTACAATATTTTATAACTGTATAAGCCAACTGTAAACCTAAAAATTTACAGCCAGTTTTGAAAGAGATGTATACTTGCTCTGGACCGTGTTACTGAATATATTAAAGCTGTAGTAAAATGATTCTTCTAATCAAGTAGTTATTGAAAATTTTAAAAAAATAATTAAAAAAATAATTCTTCAAAGCACAAAAATTTGCTCCTTAATAATTAGTAGATGTGAAAAGCATTATCATTGAAATCTACCTGATGACTTTACATCCATGCTCAGATGCCAAGGAGCTCAGAAAGTAACCGACTGTGACTAGTAATAATCAGATATATAGAGATTAGAAACGCATGTGCAAACATCTTAATGTCAATTGCATTAAAAATGAATTTTTCTGTATGAAACTGTGTATTTTAATAATGAAATGGAGATCCTTTTCAAAGTTTAAAACCTCATTTAATTTTATGTCTTATAGGGTTTATACTGAGTACAATATTGTAGGGGCTGGAGAAATGGCTCAGCAGTTAAGAGTACTGGCTGCTCTTGCAGAGGACCCAGGTTCAAGTCCTAGCACTCACATGGTAGGTAACAACTATTTGTAATTCCAATTCCAGGGGATCTGAAGCTCTGTTCTGACCTCTACGGGCATTGTACAACACAGGTGCACTTAAATAAATGCAAGCAATATATTCATAAGAGAAAAAAATATATATATATATATTTTTTAAAAGAATTAAAGGACTCTCTTTAAGGATTACAGGGGATGCAGAGTACAATTAAAGAGTCATTAATTTTCCATTACTTTAACAGATGATGAACAATTAATACAGCTTTAATCTAAAATGGTACTTTCTCATTTGTAAAAGGGGGCTGATGTAATTACCTTAATAATGCCACTTTTTGCCTTATATGTAGAAAAATAAGGTTGTTCCAGAAGCCACAATGAGGTAAGAATGGCAGCTGTAGAGGTCTTTACACGAATTACTGGACTGTATTTCCAGTCTGAGTGGCTGAGTGATGAATCACAAAGGAGTCTTCTATCAGACCATCTTATCATCCATTCCACCAGTCTTCCCACACTGCTGAACGCGTTCTTCAGTGGCAGGGGAAGCTCTTCTTGAGGGTTACCGGCACTGCACTGAATTGCTTTGAAACTGTATCTTCCACTTTTAATGGACTTGGGAATCCAAAATGTGTGGCTTGATGATCTCTGAGTTAGGGGTTTCTCTCTTTTGTCATGTTGACTTATATAAATTGACTTTTGTTCTAAACCAAACAACCCTCCCTTTCTTTTATTTTTGGTAATTTCATCTAAAGGGTTCTCTGAAGGGCTGATCTCTTGACTAACTAGTTTTGAAGCTGAGAGAGGCTGCTTGTCTACATTTATGGCACACCCACTGTTTAAGGAGGATGTTTTTTCAGAGTCACACAATTCAGGGAGAACAACAAAACAGGAGCCAGCTCTATACACGTTCTGGCTTTTGCTTTTGCTCTGGCGTTGTTTCAATGTTGTATGTACATCAAAAAGTAAAGAATTAAGTTCATGTTCTCTAAGCTGTCCAGAGAAGCTGGTCAGAAATGGAATGCCAGGATCCTTGGAACTAAGGTCTCTTTCAAGTATGTAACTCAAGAAGAGCTCGAGGAATTTAATGTATTCGTCATCATCACGCTCAAATTCCCAAGCCCCTATTGTAGGAAGTACACTTTGTGATAACTTTTCCTGATCTTTTGTTTGGCGGTTTTCTTTCTGATTACATGTTTTCCTTTTATCAGTGGGCTTGGCAACCAATGTTGATTCCTTGTGATTTGAGGCATTTCTATGATTAAAAAAAAAATTGAAAAAGACAAATTTAACCATTATTGAAATGAAATGATCTTACAATTGATAATAAAAACATTTTATTAAGTCATGTAGCTTTTTGTGTGTGTCTCAAATGAGATATTGGTACCTAACAAAATCTCTAAGTAGTAGAATATTCTATGTCTAAGAACAAATATTCAAAAAGTTTATGTTAAAAGAAATTAAAATGTGTTCACAGAAAGTTCACTATAAAAAAAGCGCATGAGGGACAGCAAGATGGGCCAGCAGCAAAGGTACTTGCTGCCAAGCCTGACAACCCAAGTTTAATCCCTGGAATCTACATGCTAGAAAGAGAATCAACTCCCTCAAGTTGTCCTCTGACCTCCAGAAGCATCCCATGGCATGAGCATGTAACCACCGCCGCCAATACACACAAATAAATAAATGTAAAAAAAAAAACCAAAAAACAAAAAACAAAAAACAAACCAAAACCATGAATGTTCTCAGGAGGTGAAAACAGATCCTCTAATACACAGCAGAATTTAGAAATACAAAGTCAACAAAATGACAAGCTACCAGTATGCACTGTAGGGCGCCAGGTTTCTCCTTCCACTGCCCTTTTTGGCCCTTAGACAAGTGAACAGTAGTACTGTTCCTTTTAGTTTCACCACAAAAATGTTTGGAATCTTTAAAACACTACTGTGAAAACAGCTGCTATGAAACATGTTGGCAGGCATCTTAGTTGTCAGCTACAACTGTTTACAAGTATCTCCTTTCAACACAGCCTTTAGGCAAGAACACAGATTCTCAGAGCTCTCAGAAAGAGAAAAGCTGTGAGGCACTTGGGCTCAGGCCAGCAGGTCTTCTCACCTAGAATACACAAAAGCAGCCTACAAGATATTTTTGTGTATTTAAGCACAACTGTTTTGTAAAGCAACTACACTATTTAAGTTGTGTGCATGCCTTTGGTCTCAGCACTCACTTGGGAGGCAGAGGTAGGCAGATCTCTGTGAGCTCAAAGGCCAGCCCAGTCTACATAGCAAGTTCAGGCCACCTGGGGCTACAAGGAGACCCTGTCTCAAAAAGACAAGGAAAAAAAAAAAAACACCAAGTACACTATTTAAAATATTAGATATGGTTCAAGTATATGTTTGGAGTAGAGGTGATAATTTAACTTAAGCAGAATCAAAATTATTGTTGCTTATAGTTTTAAGTCATGAAATGACAAATTGCATTGCAGTTATATGCAGAATTATGACCAAAACAACCCAATGGCTTAAATCACAGTTTATACAATAAGCAAGAATGTGCCAACAATTCATGGACACATCAAAGATGAAAGTGCAAGTTCCTTCCTTGGAAATCCTCAAAAATGATATGGCTAACACAATCACATAAAACCATCAAACTATGGGTTAAGTATCCTTTATCTGAAACACTCAAGACCAGAAATGTTTTGAAGTTGGTTGTGGTTTCTTTTGGGGAGGGAGGATGGTAATATCTGCATATACTTAATGGGATGTCTTCATGATAAGGCCCAAGTCTTATAGCTTAGTGACACAACAATTATCTGTGATGTACAAGGGCTTGAATTCTAGCACCAGCACCGAAACACACACACAAACAAAGCAAAACAAGATTCATTTATGTTTCAAAAGTAACCCTATAATCCTCATACATAATGGTCTGTAGGAAATTCTGTACAGTATTTCTAGTGTGCCTGAACTTCAACTTTGGCCAGTTATAGGAAATCAGGTATGGAAGTTTCAACTTTTGGTATTATATTGGATCTTTTTTTTTTTTTTTTTTTTTTGGAGACAGGGTCTCCCTGTAGCCCTAGATGGCCTTGAACTCAAAGAGATCTGCCTGCCTCTGCCTCCCTAGTGCTGGGATGAAAAGTGTTCACCACCACACCTGACATACTTGATCTTGAAGCCGAATCTCATTTTAGGTTTTCAGAACAGTCATGTTCAACTTGTATTTAAATCTAAAGATTAAGCTAGGTGTGGTGATGTACAACTTTTGTCCCAGTTCTAGGCCTGCCAGAGCTACAAAGTAAAACCCTGTCTCAAACAAACGAAAATAATAAATCTAAAGAGTATTTTAAAACAGAACTCAGGGAGCTAGAGAGATGGCTCAGCAGTTAAGAGCATTGGCTACTCTTGCAGAGGACTCAGGTTCAATTCCCAGCACCCACATGTCAGCTAACAATGGTCCATTACCTCCAGTTCCAGGGGATCCGACACCCTCTTTTGACCTCCATGGGCACTGCACAACATGGGTATACTTACATAGAGGCAATACACTCATACACATAAAATTAAAGTAACAAAATATTTTAAGAGCACAACTCTAAGTCCTCCACTGAATTCTAAAATTTTGTCTACTCATCTGATTTTATAATTATTCCATAATTCAATAATATTTAAAAAGAATTTTCAAATGTATACACTCATAATTTGCTTGTGAGTATAGAGGTTAGCACTTATCTATTTTCATATTGTTAAATCAGCTCATCTCACTTGTACTTTCTTCCAAAGTAAATACTTATAATAAGAGATCTCAGGTATACCTTTGATAGAAATGGATCCAAGTTTTCTCTTCAAACGACAAAGCTTCAGAGAACGTATCTGTATCACTGTGCACCAGAGAACTACCCAGTTCTGTGAGGGTACTTCTGCTCAAGCTAGTTCCCAGGGAAAACCTGTCAAAACCTGGAGCCATATCTGGTTTTTCTTCTTCGTCTGGTTCCCATATATTCACTTCAAAAGCACCTATGTTCCTCTGCACACGTTTTAGGGCTTTCACTCTTACTTTATGGGCAGACTGCATGACAACAGACATTAGTTCCTCAGTCTGAGGACCTAGGAAGAAAAGAACCAAAGGCTTATGGTTCGTTAAAATGCTTCAACTCAAGATTTAAGGTCAGGTATGGTAGTGCATGCCTGCAATCCCAGCACTCAGGAGGCAGAGTCAGAAGGGTTGGCCTGGGTTCAAGGCCAGCCTTATTTACACAGTGTGTATCAAGGCCATCATGGCTACACGGTAAGACCCAGTCTCAAAACTAAAGAACGGACGGAAGGGAGGGAGGGAGGGATCCAATTCTGCCTATTTTAGTCCTTCTGGAGACATGAAATCAAACTAAAAACTAAGGCTTATTTCCATAGTCTTACAGATTATGTTTTCTTTTGTATCTATTGGAAAGCTATGGCCCATTTTTAAAAACGAAACTACAGAAGCTAAGGTCCATTTAAAGAACAATAAAAGAGAAAGAACCCAGGTTCTCTGTCACACATTTTTTAAAAGTATATCCTGGAGAAAAATAAATAAATAAAGTTACTTAGATGTTTTGGATAACTAGGTTACATAACAAGACTGTCTCAAAACAAAAACAAAAGGAAAGGCCAGGGCGGGTGGAACTCAGCAAAGGCCGAGTTCAAGGCCAGCCTGGTCTACATAGCAAGTTCCAGATTAGCTGAGGCTACAGTGAGACCCTGTCTCAAAAAAACAAAAATAAAATTAATTAATTAACTAATTTAAAAATTCCCCACCAAAAAAATCCCACCACGGCTGAGGAAGGTATTTCTGATGGAAGTACAATGGACAGCTGGGTAGACTAGGCAGCAAGCCCATCTCGGTGTGCTTGCATCCCTCAGTGATAAGCCTACTATGTCAAATTGCTGGAGGCCCTTTGTGCAGAGCACCAAATCAACCTAACTAAGGTTGGTGACAACAAATTAAGAGAAAGCCCCATGAAGTAACCGGTTGAAGTTGTGCAGTGGTTGAAGACTATGGCAAAGGTCTCAGGACAAGGATGTTACTGAAGAGAACTTCAATGCAAGAAACAAGTAAAAAAAAAAAAAAAAGTTTCATTTTCTTAAAAACAAAATCAAGACATGTAATTGTAAATAGAGAACAACTAAGATTATTTTCTAGTCCCACAAATTGGAGAAAAAGAGAATGTTAGAATACCTATAGCAAAAATTTGGGTTGCCGGGCGTGGTGGCTCATACCTTTAATCCCAGCACTTGGGAGGCAGAGGCAGGCGGATCTTTGTGAGTTCAAGGCCAGCCTGGTCTACACAGTGAGTTCCAGGACAGCTGGGGCTACAGTGAGACCCTGTCTCAAAAAAACAAAAACAACAAAAAAAATTGGGTTACAATACTGTAGCAAAAACTGCAGGTATCTTTCTTACTATGAGTAATGAGAAATAATAGGTAAAGTTTTGAAGACTGTGTTAAAAATTTTAAACATTATTAACACACAAAGGATATTTTAGAGGATAACAAAAAAATACTAAGAAAAACATACATCACAAATGCATGTAGAACTGTGCAGCGCACAACTGTGCACAGCTAGAAGCATGTACTAGCTGCATTTCTAAAAAATATAAAGAATAATGTAAATACTTCTACAGCTGATGTACTGTAGTGGCAAAGCACATGCTTAACATGCAAGAAGCCTGAGTTTGTTCTCCAGCATCACAAAAAGGAAAAAAAAAGGAGGTGCAGGAAAAGTAGAAAATGTTAAATGGCAGATTTTATGTTACATATATTTTGCCACAATAAAAGAAAATTCTACAAGGCCATGTTGAATGTACAGGATAAAATTATAAGCATAAACAATCTTAAAGAGGAAGAATACTAGTTTTTTTTGTTGTTGTTCTTGTTGTTGTTTGGCTTTTTGAGACAGGGTCTGCCTGTAGCCCCAGCTGTCCTGAACTCACTATGTAAACCAGGCTGGCCTTGAACTCACAGAGATCCACCTGCCTCTGCCTCCCGAGTGCTGGGACTAAAGGCATGTGCCACCATGACCAACTAGAAATATTAGCTTTTAAAAAATATTTTATTATCTTTATTTTATGTGTACGAGAGTATTGCCTACATGTGTGTAAGCGTACCCATGTCATACAATGCCCACGGAGGTCAGAGGAGGGTGCTGAATTCCCCTGGAACCAGAGTTCCAGACAGTTATTAGCCACCACATAGGTGCTGGGAATTAAACCTGGGTCCTCTGCAAGAGCAGCCAGTCCTCTTAACCACTGAGCCATGTCTCCAGCCCAAGGAGAATACTAACATCCATGAAATGTGCAAAGTGCCGTATGCTCTAATTCATTTCACTTCACTTCATTTTTGAAATAAAATCTTGCTGTATTGACCAGGATGGTTTAAATGTACTGGTTCAAGTGATCCTCCTACTTCAGCCTACCAAGTAACTAAGACTCCAGGCACACACTACCATTCCTAGACCACAGGCTCATTTTATGTCTCCATTTTGTTCAATCCTGTCAATACATATTGATCAAACAGGTTATGTAATGATTATTTTACTTATAAATAGGGAAATGAGGCTCAGAGAGTTTGAACAACTTGTGTAAGGCACAGTTGCTGACACAGCCATGATGTGACATAACCTCCATCTAGCTCTGAAGCAAAGCAATACTTTCCACAATGCAGGAAATGTTGTCCACCTTCTCATAGTCCATCTTAGGGAGAGGCAGAAAGTCACAGATACCAAGGTGGCAGAAAATAAGATCATCTTGGGTGGGGCCAGAGAGACGGCTCAGCAGTTAAGATCACTTACTGCTCGTCAAGAGGACTTGGTTTAAGTTCCCAGCACTCACATTGGGCGGCTCACAACTGCCTACAACTCCAGTTCCAAGGGTACTGAAGTCTTTTTCTAGCTTCTGAGGGCACTTGCACACACATGGCATACATACATACATACATACATACATACATACAGACACACACACACACACACACACACACACACACACATATAGGGAAATAAAAATAAATCTCTTTTAAAAAGAGCATCTTCAGCAATGTACCCATTAGACATCTGAGAAATAACAAATACCTTTCACAACACAGTGTCTGAGTCTCTGTTGAAGAGAGTGGTATTTTTCTCTTAAAGGTACTCTTATGACCTCAGGGTTGGGAAATGCTTTCACAAAAATTTCTGCTACCTTCAGAAAAAAAAATTTAAAGATCAGTCTCTTTTTTCTTTTAATTCTTCAAGCATTTTAATCAAAACATAAATAGTTAATTTCTGGTGTCCATCCAAGCTACCCTTTGAGCATGTGCCTGCCTTCTGAAATTCAGCATCATTTTTTTTCTTTTATATTAAATTTTAAAATATATGACAAAATTATGTATTTGATGGGTGCTAAATATCTCATCAAAATAACATTTCAATCACCAAACACAGTAACCACTGTACGCATGTGTACACATGTATATCCGCACTTATCAAATTTCAGGTAAACTGTGCCGTATCACTAACTACAGTCACCACGCTGTACATTAGCTCCCTAGAACTGATTTATCTTATCACTGAAAGTTTGGACCCCTTAGCCAACATCTCTCTATGTCTTTTTTCATTCTTTTAAACAAGGAGTAGTTTTATTTTTCTCTGCACTTAGAATCAACAACAATAAGAAAATCTCCTGTGGAAAAATATAATGAAATGCAGGAGGGAAAAATTATAATGAAATGCAGGAGGCTAATGCACTAATACATTAGTGCATTTGCCTCAAGGAACTATGAGAACTCTGATTAGTCTGTGAAATGGAGAAGATGTTGGAGGTTACGAGAGGCGTGACTTATTGAGGGACATCTCCTAATTTCTACCACACTTCTAACACCTCCCTATCTCCACCACACCCCAGGCCTGGCAACCACCATTTTCTTCTCTGCTTCTATGAGTTTTTTGTATTCTACACATAAGTGAGATCATACAGTAACTGTCTTTCTGAACCTGGAGGACATGATGCAAAATGAAATAAGCCAGACACAGAAAGGCCTTGCTTAAAGTAAAATAAAAATCTTGTAAGGTATCTGATTCAGATTTAGTTTATTTTTACCTATAATCATATTACCTTTCTGATTGGTGGTAGCTCTCCAATAAGGCTCAAAATTATGTCCTGAATAAGTTCTTCAATATTAAAATACCGCGAGAAAGGTAGCATTCTACAAGCCCATTCCAGTGCATGAAAACAGTGTTCAACCATACAAGAATCAAACTCCACGTCGAGGTCCTAAAGAGATATTGGAAAGAGTGCCTCTTCAGTTGATATGGTAAGTTCAGAACGCGTTCAAAAGGATATTTTACTACAGACAGTAAACTCTTCTACTAAGCAATAATTTCCCAAGTAACATTTATTTTCCATTCTTGTACTGGTAAGTACCTTTCCTCCCTTCACATTTTCTCTTGCCTTCTGATACTGCCTGCAACTGTACGATAATTGATCACGAATATGCAACATCCAGCACAAAGCACAGAGTTCTCTGAAGCAACCTAAAAAAAATACAAAAACGAAAGAAAATTATGTGAGTATGTACATCCCTGGTGATTATTTGTTTTCAAAATAAAAGTCATTACTCTGCTGATTATAAAAGTGCAGGGGTTGGGTAGATGGCTCAAGAGATAAAGCGCTTGCTGATGTGCAAGTGTGAGGATCAGAGTTTGGATTCCCAGCACCATGTAAATTCCAGGCAGGTGGGGTAGACTGCCTGTAATCCTAGGGCTTGATGAGATAAAGACAGGATCCCCAGAGCAAGCTGGCTAACCTGATGTGCTGGATAGCTTTAGTGTCAACTTGACACATCTGGGTAGAGGGAGCCTCAATTGGGGAACCGCCTTCATTGGACTGGCCTTTGGTCAAGTCCATGGGGCACCTTCTTGATTGTTGAGTGATGTGGGAGGGCCTAGCCCACTTCAGGTGGTGCCATCCCTGGGCAGGTGGGCCTGTGTTGCATAAGAAAGCAGGCTGAGCAGGGGCCAGGGGAGCAAGCCAGTAAGCAGTGTTCCTCCAAGGCCTGTGCTCCAGCTCCTGCCTCCAGGTTCCTGCCCCAAGTTGCTACCTTGGGCTCCCTGATGAACTGTGACCCAGGAGATGTAAGCTAAATAAACCCTTTCCTCCCCAAGTTGGTAGTGGTCAGAGTGTTTTGTCACAGCAATGGAGACACAAACTAGGACACCTGACTAATCACATCAGTGAGCTTTGAGCTCAAGTGTGAGACCTCGCCTCAACCTATTAGGTGGAGAGCGATCCAGGAAGACACCTAATGTCAATCTCTGGCTTCCACATACATACACATGCATACACACACACACAAACACACAAACTAATGCAAATATACATACACACATCAAAAAAATTAAAATGTGCTCACTGTAAACATCTTATATAAAAGCCATGGAAATCCTTCCAAATTTTTTATGCATATTATTTCATACATATCGGTTATATGACTATATAAAAACATATTTACTAAGTAACTTAATTTACTACCCACTAACTTGTTTAATTAATTAATAACATAGATACTATTCAAGTCTGACATATAGCTCTGTATCATATAGTCATTCAGAATATTACTTATTTTTTACAATGCTGGGAATTGAACCCAGGCTTCACACATGGTAGGCAAGTGCTTTACCACTGAGCTGCAACCAACTGATAGGCATTTTGCTCAAACTTTTTTTTTTATTTATTATTTTTATTTTATGTGTACGCATGTATTGCCTACATGTAGGTGAGTGCACCTGTGTTGTGCAATGCCCACAGAGGACAGAAGAGGCTGTTGGATCCCCTGGAACTGGAGTTACAGGCAGTTGTTAGCTGCCATGTGGGGGCTGGGATTCGAACCCAGGTCTTCTACAAGAACCGTCAGTGTTCTTAATCACTGAGCCATCTCTCCAGCTCTTCTTCTGACCTCTGTGAGCATTGCATGACATAAGCACACTTACATACATGAAGGCAAAACACTCAAATACATTAAAAAAAAAACCCAACTAACTAGATAATAGAATTAGTCACAAGAAGGACATACTAATATACTTAGCATGACAGTGCACACCTGTAACCTCAGTTCTTGAAAGGCTGAGGCAGGAGGATCATGACCTCAGGCCAGTCTATGTTACAGAACACATGAGCCTATCTCAAAAACACAAAAACAAATAAGCAAATCATATGAAAACCAAACTATAATGAGGGAAAAGCTACCTCCAAAACAAATAAGGGCATATTAACATAAAGCTCGTGATTTTTTGGCCATCAAATTAATCTGAAGGAATTACATATTTTAGCATACTACTTCAAGAGATATAAAAGAATTATGTTAATTAACTAAAAAATTCTACTTCTAGCCAGACCTGGTGGCACAAACCTTTGATCCCAGCACGTGGGAGAGAGAAGCAGGCAGAGGCAAGAGGATCTCTGTGAGTTCAAGGCCAGCCTGGTCTACACAGTGAGTCCAGGCCAGCTGGAGCTACAGGGAGACCCTGTCTCAAAAAGACCAAAAAAAGAAAAAAGAAAAAAATTCCACTTCTGTGAGTCTACCTAAGGAAATAATTCAAAATACAAAGCAGAATTGATGTGCCAAGGGCTGAAAAAATGACTCAGTAGTTAAGAGCACTGGCTGCTCTTGCAGAGGACCTGGGTTCAACTCTCAGTACACAACTGGTGGCTAACAACTGTCCATAACACCAGTTCCAGGGGAATCCAATACCCTCTTCTGACCTCTACAGGGATTGCACGACACGGGTGCACTTAGAAACATGCAGACAATACATTCATACACATAAAATAAAAGTAATAAATAAATTATTTTTTTAAAAAAAGAATTGAGCTGAAGAGATGGCTCAGTAGTTAAGAGCACTGACTGCTCTTGCAGAAGACCCAGTTCAATTCCCAATACCCACATGTCAGCTAACAACTGTCCATATCTCCAGTTCCAGAGGAATCTGATATTCTCTTCTGACGTCCATGGGCACTGCATAACACAGGGGCACTTACATACATGCAGGCAATACACTCATAGACATAAAATAAAAATAATAAAATATTAATAAAAAATAATTGATGTGCCAGAGGCAGCTTAAAGATGTAACAAATAAAGTATATTTTAATGTTTGCTAATAAAAGCCATTAAAGTTAATACTTATGTCTATAAAATGGAAAAAAGCTTAGGTGGAATAGGTTAAGGTAGAAAAGCAGGAAACAAAATTGGTTCATCACTTCTGAAAGGTTCAAAGCCTACCCACTGAACAGTGCTTACAGCATATCCTTATTGAAAGAGAATGATCAAAAAAAGGTATTCTTGAATGCTGAAATTCCAAATTTAAACAATGAAGTAATGACAATGTCATAATTATCACAATTTGATTTATATAATAAAATTCTAAATTTGGAGCTGGAGAGATGGCTCAGCAGTTAAGAACACTAGCTGTTCTTGTAGAGGACCCAAGTTCAATTCCCAGCACCCACATGGTGGCTAAAAACAGTATATAACTCCAGTTCCAGGGGATTCAATGTCGTCTTCTGACCTCTGCAGGCATTGTATGACACGGTGCACTTACATAGATGCAAGAATACATTCATACATGTAAAATTAATTAATTATTTAATACCACACATATAATGCATGTTATTGTTAAAATACACCATCTGGAGCCAGGCGTGATGGTGCACACCTTTAATCCCAGCAGAGACAGGTGGATCTAGGTGAGTTCAAGGCCAGCCTGATCTACATAGTGAGTTCAAAGCCACCTGGGGCTATAGGGAGACCCTGTCTCAAAAAGACCAAAAAAAAATTTTTTTAAAGGGGGCTGGAAAGGTGGCTCAGAGGTTAAGAACACTGGTTGTTCTTGCAAAAGACCCGGGTTTGAATCCCAGCACTCCATGGCAGCTAACAACTGTCCATAACTCTAGTCCCAGGGGATATGACAGCCTCTTCTGACCTCTGCGGGCATTGCAGACATGGGTGCACTTACCTACACGCAGGCAATAGACAAGCATAAAATAAAAATAATAAATAAAATTAAAAAAAAGAAATACACCATCTGTGTGTGAACCTCAAAGTAAAATGTCATAGAGCAGGGCTGGAGAGATGGCTCAGCTGGTTAAGAGCACTGACTGCTCTTGCAGAGGACCCGGGTTCGATTCCCAGTACCCACATGGCAGCTACTAACCATCCTTAACTTCAGTTCCAAGGGACTCCGATGCCCTCTTCTGACCTCGGCAGCATTGCACGACACGGGTGCACTCACAAACATGCAGGAAATACACACATACACATAAAATAAAAATAAATAGAATATTTAAAAAAATCAGAGAGCAAACTATACTTGAGTCAATAGTTTATAAAGTTTGCCAAATCAAAGGAAAAACATATCACAGTTCATATCTGGCCTTCCAAACCATTAGCTCATTTTGACACACCTAGTGCTCTAATGGAAACTTCATCAAGTTTGTGGTCTGCTGCTGCTCCAGGTCTGAAGAATGCTATGCCTCCTCTACAGTAATCAAGTAGAGATTCAGGGAAGGAACTCAGTGAGGAAAGGGAGCCTTTCATGCGAATCTGGAAAGAATGACAGAATATGTTAATTATCAGTAGAATACGTAATCTAGAAAAGGAAACTATCAAGTGAGGTCATCAAGAGAAACCACACAGAACAGGGAGTAGTAGGTGCTCCTCTGCTACAAGGGAAACAGCTCTGCAATCAGCTGCACTTTCAGAAACTCAGTTCCCAAATTTGATTCAAGACATTCATTCACTAGATCATACCTGAAGAGGAAAGGTATGCTAGCTAAACCACGTACATTCTCTTGTCACTCAGCTTTGCCCATATTCATCTCTGTCTCTACATTCAAGAGAAAGAAAATTAAAGTATTTAAATCTCATCTGACAGTAACTGTGCTAGCCATGGTGGTGCACATCTTTAATCCCAGCACTTGAGAGGTAGAGGCAGGCAGATCGCTGAGAGAACGAGTCCAGCTTGGCCTACCTAGCAAGTTCCAGGTCAGCTACAGGGAGATCCCGTCTCAAAAGACAAAGAGAGAGAGAGAGAGAGAGAGAGAGAGAAAGTAACTGTGCAATACCTAAAACAAAAAACGAATACAAAAAAACCTTATACCCATAACTTTAAAAAACGAATCTATGAATGACAGAAATAGAAAGCCATCATTTGGTAACACCTGAAAAATAATGACTCTAGACAAGGATCATCAATAAATGTCAAACTAGAAGGAAGTTGATAGGTTGATGGGGAACCTGATACAGTCTTTAATCCCAGGTAGAGGCAGAAGGATCTCTGTGAGCTTGAGGCCAGGACTACACAGTGAAACTCTGTTATACACACACACACACACACACACACACACACACACACACATAGAGGGGCTGAGGAAATAGCTCAATGGACAAAGTGCTTGCTATGAAAACATGAGGAGCTGAGTTCAGATCCTCAGAATCCATATAAACCAGGACACAGGAATATGAGTCTGTAATCAGGGCTTCTATGGCAAAATGAGAGGTGGAGACAGAATGCCCGGAAGTGTGAAGGCCACCATCCCCGCATATCCAACAGCAGCTAGCAAGAAGAAGCCCCGTTTAAAACAAGGCAGAAGGTGAGGACTGACACCCACTGGACCTCCACACACATGCTACAGCATGCACAAACTTGCACATACACACATACATTCTACACATACACAAAACACTAAAAATAAAAGCTAATTTTTGTCAGGCACGGTGGCACACATCTACAAAGGTAGATCCCAACACTCAGGAAGCTGAGTTCAGGGCTAGCCTGAACTAACTCTGTCCATATTAAAAAGTGAAAAATGAAAACCAGTCAGGCATGGTGGCACATGCCTTTAATCCCAGCACTTGGAAGGCAGAAACAGGCGGATCTTTGTGAATTCAAGGCCAGTGTGGTCTACAGAATGTGTTCCAGGCCAGCTGGGGCTACAGGGAGACCCTGTCTCAAAAAAACAAAAAAAAAAAAAAGTATTTAGAATTAGATAAAGAGACATATTCAGTGTCCTACTCAGCTACAGAACAAGTGAGTTAGTGGAAGACAGGACAGAAAGCCCAGAACCAAACTGAGCTGCACCACCACACCCGGCTATATTTCAGTTTTCCTAACGGCATGTGAATGCCTAAGATGCTTCATACCTTCTGCATGACTTTTCTTGCCCACCTCAGCTTCAAGATGTACCACTGTGCTAGAGGAAAAGAACATCGTGCTGCCCGGAAAAGCAAGAGAACTCGCTGAAGGATTCCAGACACTTTTTGTCGATTATCTTTTTCAGCTTTTAAAAGAAGATTGTCACCATGTTCCTGAGGACAACAGAACAGTTATCTATTACTAAAACTACTATCACCTGCATTTTACAGATGAGGAAACTTAAAAATTTGTTTGGTATGTTACTAAGACCACACACTTAGCACACAGCTATGCTGGGAAACCAGAAATCTGTCCTCAGATCCTTTTTGTTGTTGTTGAGACAGGTCTCCTTAGTAGTCCCAGCTGACCTGGAACTCACTATGTAGACCATGTTGGCCTGGATCTCACAGAGATCAGCCTGCTTCTGCTTTCTGGGTGATTAAAGGCATGTGCTACCACACCCGACTACTAGATCTTATATTTAGTATTGACATGATAATTATTATCAGGGTATTTTAAAAATTGGACAAAATCAACTTTAAATTAACCAAAAGAATACTGCACTGAGCTTACTTCACTAAGAACAGCTGGCTGGGGACAATACAGTGGAGGAGCTGGAAGATACAAGTCGACAGGCACTAAGCCCCACAGCCTCTTACTAAAGTCTTTGGCAGAGTCCATCAATAGCTGCAGTGTCTCTGAAACAATATCTGCACCAGCCATGACTGATGCTTTCAGCACTTCTTGCACAGACCCAAACAGCAGATTAGCATCTTCTTCTTCAATGGGATCTACCAAACATAAAATGAGATGAAATGAAGCCAGGCAGTGTAGATCATGATTGTAATTCCAGGACTCAGGAGAAGCCTGAGGCAAGAAGACTGACTGCATGGCCAAGGTCAGACAGGTAACTAATGAAACCTTGTCCCAAAGCTAGTAAGTATAAACCTATGTATGAAAAAACCAAAGTATCATTCCAATATGGGTTTTTTTTCCTAGTGCTAGAGATTTGAACTAGGGCCTCTCTGGCGCCAAGCAAGTCTTCTACTCAGTTACATCCCCAGCCCACAAGTATTTTTTCACCTGACAACAGTTTTCTTTTCTTTTTTTTTTTTCCTTTTTATGGTGCTTGGGATTGAACCTAGGGCTTTGCATAGTCCAGGCAAGTGCTCTACCAGTGAGCTCTAATCCCAGCTCATCTGTCCTCATAGGCACTCCCATGATCAAGTATAAATATCCTTAAATTTTTGATAAGTTTTTTCAAAATGTTATTCAATTTCTAGGATGTTCTCTCATTAACTGTTCAACTAAGTAGTCATAAGCTTTTGTAGTATCATAAAGTTTATATCAACCTGATACCCTTAGGTAACACACCTGTAAATTGCTTATATTTTGAGCCCTTTGCACTTTTTGTTTCCAAAGTGGCTGGCTGACCTAAAAAACACTGCAGTTTTTCCTGGAAAATCTGTGCTGGTGTCATATTTAATGGCAGCTTCACACCTTTTTTCTTGGACCTGAAATGACATCAAATTAAGGGAAAGAAATTCAAATTTTGAAAAAAAGGAAAGATTTCATACTTCAAGAACTGAATGTGAGCATATTTAAGAAACTAAAGAGTCCCTTCCTTTATTCATCTTACTCACAAAAAGGAAACACTATATAAGGCTCTTCCCATGAACCCAATAATCTCCCCATTCCAAGTGCCGACTATACCCTTCATATGTACTCTATCCAAAATAAAGCAAAGCTTCTTTGTCAAATGCATTTGCTCATGCTTAGGATGTTCTCTCATTAGCTGCTCAACTCACCAGATCCTCCCTACCCTTCAGCGCCCACTTCAAAGGACAGCTACACGAGTGTTTCTGGCTCACCCTCACTTGCTATTGCCTTCTCTCCATTAGGCTATTGGTACTTGTCTTATCCCACTATGGAAATTATAATACTGTTTGGTCTTATTCATTATAAAGTGTAAGTGCCTTAAGTTTATACCTAATAAAATGCCTGACATAGAGCTTTGTAATGATCTGTTACTTAATAAATCTATGGTAGACTATTGACTGAAAAATACATAAAAGACTCCACAATGTTATAATATTCCAAAAAGTTTAAAATTAGAGCTTAATTGACCTAAAACACAAATCCTCACACAGTATACTGATGCATGCCTATCCCAGCACTAGGGAGACTGAGGCAGAAGGATATTGAGTTTGAGGCCAGCCTGGGCTACACAGTGAGATCTCATCTAGAAAGAAGAAAGAGAAGACAGAGGAAGAGGAAGAGGAAAGGAAAAGGGAAAGCAACCCCCAAATCCTATTTGGGATAAACTCCCCTACTGACTAATTGACCTTCTAGAATATTACTAACACAGCCGGGTGTGGTGGCGTATGCCTTTGATCCCAGGACTGGGGGGGGGGGGGGGGGGGGCGTGCCTAGAGAAAGTCAGATCTCTGTGAGTTCAAGGCCAGCCTGGTCTACATAGGGAGTTCTAGGCCAGGTGGGGGTAGGGGGAGACCCTTTCTCAAAAAAAAACCAAAAAAAAAAAAAAAAGAATATTACTAACACATAAATATGTTGCATAAATGTTTCAGCACAAACAAGTAAACCACTGAGCCACAGTCCCACACAGTAATCACTAGAGCAAGTGGTAACTTAATTTAAAATTAAAATGAAGGCCAGTTGAGGTAGCGCACGCCTTTGATCCCAGCACTTGGGAGGCAGAGGCAGGCGGATCTTTGTGAGTTCAAGGCCAGCCTGGTCTATGTAGTGAGTTCAGGTCAGCTGGGACTACAAGGAGACCCTGTCTCAAAAAG